CAGAGAAAACCTATGTACAATAAACTATACTCTGAACAAAAAGAGAATAGTTTCCTTCTCTCGTACTCAGCATTAAACTTTAGAATGATATTAGTAACCAAAAAAAAACAACAACATTAAGTGAAATGCGCAAATCGAACAGTAGTAATTAATCAGTATTGATAATCAGTACAATGTATTAATATCAGTATTAATTAATCAGTATAAATTATTCAGTATTAATTACTATGACTTGCAATTCAATGATTCAAATAAGGCTTAAATTATTAGTCCTTAAAAGTTGTTAGATATCAAGCTCTTCTTATTATCCCATGTGATATTTAATTTACTTATATGTATATTTGATGTGAAATTCAACACCATTATTTAAGTTTGAATTATTGAACGTCTTTTATATGGATATGAATAGGCATGATATAACAGGTTATATATCATTTTCATAGTTAGGTCGTGGAGGAAAAAATATCGACTCTATCTTTTATCATTGATACATTGTAATCAAGTGTACCCTCTATGGTCGATTTTAATGTTAAAACAAATATTTTGACAAGAAATAAATCAAGCAGGAAATTTACTTGAAGAATTAATAATCCCGCATGCGTATTGATTCTCCGCGGAGGTTCTATTTGTCTACATTTAATTGTACATAAAAGTTTGGAACTAATGGTTTCCTTTTTTGTTGTCACTATGTAACATTAAACATTACATAAAGGGAGTATTGTATTGAATTTTTTCCGTTTATTCTTTTATTTTTTTATTTATGCATTTTTTTTTTCAATTTTTTTTTCATTCCATGATTCCAAAATGCGGTCAGTTTGAATACGTATAATTAAGTGTAATGCTGCAGAAGAATTTTCAGTACAATTATCTTATTTTATGATGCTTTTTTATCATATAAACAACAGCACTGGAGAATGATAACTACGCACTAGTGCAATAACTTCAATGTGATGTCATTTACGGTTTGTTTAAACGTTTATACATTATAAACTATACACACGACTGTTGTCAATTTATAAAGGTTTTTTTTCTTCTCTCTAATAAAAGAAGATTGCTTTATTAAAAGTTTGTAATACAGAGGCTTGTATTAGCAGGTTATAAAAGCGTACATGTATATACAATGTATATAAACTGTTGTCTCGCATAATATAATTTTATTGAACTCGTTCAATAATTTGAATATTGAACCAACACTCCTGCAATATCCTCAATATCTTTTGTTCACTGGTCTATACATGTATCATTTAATATTTTCACTGTATAAGAAACCATGATTATCATCATCAATATTATCAACAATGTTCCGACAACAACAACTACAACAACAAAAATAGCAACCATAGTAACACGAAATAACAAAAATTGTAGATTATCTTACCTACTTTTATCAAAGAAACTTTTACACAAACACCATCAACATCCCGTATAGAAGTAGAAAAAAAACAGTAAAAAATGAAGTTTTGTTTTCCAACTATAAGCCCGTTAACATCACGAAATGTCAAAACAGTATTATACGAAAATATCCAAAAGTCAATAGTTAATCGCCTGTTTATCATTAAATCACGATTAAGATTATAACGTATTAAATGTGTTATGGTTAAATCTTTTTTCTCTCCCTATAAAACTATTAAGGACCAAAGGACTTTAAATAATTCTTATTCAACATTATAATAAAAAAGCTAGATTCTTTCTTCAATCTTGGTTTATAATTTCTGCTTAAAGCGAGTCGCTCATGTATTGCACAAAAAAAACTTTTTAAAAAAAATAGATATACAATGTTTGACTGATATAGAAAAGTCAAATAAATTATCTTTACATCAAACATTGACTAGTTAGCTTTAAAGATATTCAAATTTTAAGTCATTTAGGTAGTAGGGATCATTTATACAGATAACTTTTTTAAAATCATATAGATTTCCCTAGAATTCAGTTAACACAAGTTTTTCTTTCATTTATTTTTTCAAAAATAACATGTTATTTTTCCCTCAAGGGAATGACCCTTTTCGCCATGTCTGTGAAATACATTCCCTTTAAGATATAGATGCGTATATGCTTAAGTCGTTGTTCTACTTATGGTCATGTTTAAGTAAAGAGGTAACGACTTAATTTAATGAGGCTTACATATTCGATTTCTCAATTTTAAATGTGCAAACAGAAAGAAAAATGTTTAAAGCTTCTTATTAATCTTAGATGTTCTGTACTTCATTTATAAACAGATAGATATGTATCAACACAACGTAATATAAAATCTGTAAATTGTTATAATCCGGTCATTCATCTTAAATTTTTGTCTTAACATTCTTTCGAATGAAAATACAACGTAAGCAATGCTATTTCAAAAATAATTCAATTGTATCTTATCCATTAGCAATCTTTTATCGTATGTTATTTTAAATCAGCTGTTAAGATAAACACTTGCTTAATGCATTAAAACCTTCGGATTTTTAATTCTCTGAAATATAAACACACAGTTTAATATAAAATAAGTTTAATTATGTTTGACCAACATTATTCCTGTAATTGTGCCATGAAGATTCGGGATCTGCACAAAGTTGGTAGTAAAACTCAAGGATGCCAGTCGGGTTTACAAAAAAATCTTAGTCAGACAATCTTTAATTGTTTTAATTGCAGTTTGATTATTAATAAAACCGTATAAAAATCAAGTAGATCTATGACGATATAGCTTTAATGGAAGGTCTTATCGGAGGTAATTTACTATATAATGGGGGATAAAATTATCTTCAATCGTCAACAGTGAATTCCTTTCTTGAAGATCAAATCTGTATAAAATAAAATTCAAGGATGTTTAGTTCAATGTCATTATATACACATTGCGTTATTTGTGTTTTCATTGAAATGTCATTAAAGGACAGCACCATTGAAGAAAACGGTTGAAAGAAATATTTCTTTTATGAATTCAGTAATAAGAATTGTGCAGGGTCTATTAAGAGAATGAACGTAAAGAAATATTTTTTGTTCGGCAAGTGTATAGTGTATCCATTATATCAAAAGTAAATTATATGGTCGATATATTATATTAAATTCTGTATGTATGTGTGTTGTCTAGAGTTGATATTGTAATTACTTGAAAACTTCTTCAATTTCTTAATGCAGAATTTATTATATTGTGATAGTTTTCATTTTTTTCCGACTATTTGGTTTTTTCTTGGGGGGGGGGGGTGGTTTTTTTGTTCTGTTGTTGTTGTTTTTGTTGTTGTTTTTTTCTTAAGGAGGGGGTAGTTGTTTTTAGTTGTTGTTGTTGTTGTTTTTCTTCTGTTTTTTTTTTAGGAGGGGGTAGTTGTTTTATGTTGTTGTTGTTGTTGTTTTCCTTCTGGTTGTTGGTTTTTTTTCCTTTGGAGGGGGTAGTTGTTTTATGTTTGTGTTGTTGTTATGTGTGCGTGTTTTGAGTCCGTTCGTTCGTTTGTTTGTTTGTTTTTCGTTTTAAAACAATTAATAATCTGAAATAAAATGCTGATAAAGTCTTAACATAACGCATAAAGTAGTATACTGTCTGCCAGCGTGCAATGCAATGCACTAATCATGAAATTTAACTTAAAAGACGTCTTGACGACAACTATACTCAACGGCATTGTGAATACCTGGTATTATACTTGGAGAAACTTGAGTTATTTATATTTCATGCAATCAAAATCATTTAATCATTCTCTCCTATTAATAGTTACAAAAAGCCTATCCTAACCAATACTTAATATGTTTTGAATTATGAATGAAAATTAATAGTATTTGAATATGTTCCACGTAATAAATTGGCTAGTTAATTCATGTATGAGGATTATTCGGGTAACAAATCTTGTAAACCTTACTAAATTCTCTCTGGGTTTAGTTATAATTCGAATATTTGCAGTCAAGGAGATTAATCATATATTAAGAAATCGACGCCAAAGTTATAAACAAGAGGTCATGTTATTATTCTTTAGAAATCTTTATATAATAATTCATAATGTATCATGGTTAATCATAAGTAATTTTACGCTCACTTCCATCCCAATGCCCCTATCCCCCTATAAATAACTTACTATTTCCCAAAATACCTTTCAAGAGTTCTTCATCAAAATGACTTACTTCTTGCTTTTCCGTCGTCATGATATGACTCATTTTAACCCAGATATTATCAAAACTAGGTTTAATATATCTATGTTTCAAATTAATTATTTTTAATCATTTGATTAACAATGTATAATGTAGTTATGTAATCTTGATTTGACTCTTTTTATAAATATCAAAGTATCAGAATAAAAAAGACACATTTATCAAATAAAGTAAAGTTATAAATACATAAACTGGATATATAAGAGACATTATTTTATCATTTATATCTGTGCAGTTTTTGCAGCTCTGTAAAATCGATATAGCACGGGCGTGCAAATTTTTTGACAGGACGTCACGACTGAGCATTATACGTTAACGTCATACTATAGTCTATACTTAACTGTTTATTAAAGTTAAAGCGCGTCAATGAAATAAAATGACTCGTATTACAGTTAAATGTTCTCATAAACTGGGCATATTAAATACTATTTTTGTCCACATAGCTTTATAACCAAGTTCATAGAAAGAGTTGAAAAATAATATCATTCTCGCCAGATATCTTTAATAAATTCTGCATGTTTCTATCTCCTTTAATTCAAAGAGTAAATTATTTACAACTTATATTATTGAATTAAAAATTTTAAAAATGCACCCAATGTCCTGTATGGTATATATTGAAATATTGACTTGAATTGTATATACATTTATCTGAGTATCGTTTTCCCAAGAAACTCTAAATGTTTATTTTTTATCATAACCCTGAAGAGTCTCTCAATACATTTTGACGTGACAGGTATAGTACGTTGCCTTTTGTAAAATAAAGCTCAGCGGGTACATATGCATGTACCAATACATAAAGTTGTGACAGTCAAAAACAGAAAAAAATAGATTTTTACCAATAACCAGTTTAAAAAAATTAGAAATAATGTGAAACATATGTGAAAACATACCTTTCCACTCCATTTTGATTTGATTTTTCCCACAGCTGTTTAGTTTATGTCGACTACTGAACTCTGCTAATTGTATTATATAAATATCAGACTTTTAGAGTAATCCGATCAAATATACTGTAATAACTTCTTCTATTTTCAATTTATAATCCCTGCAAATTAACAAACAATATCATGCGTTACAACACGTTCCATTTTAATATAACGTATTTATACGAACAATATCGTCTTTTTAATGCTACTTTCTTACTAAATGCCATTGCTGAAATGTTTCTTGATTATTTTGTCGCAATTGCGATATTTCTGTTGATATGCTAACTTGACACGTTTATGTCCATTGAAGATTTTTGTAATATAAATGACAGTTTTCGAGCAGATTTATCACTGTAACACTTGTAGATTTCAGCTAGATTTATCGATGATCATGAAAATATCTCTCTGGTATAGTTTCAAGTGCTATTTGATCTTTTATTGTTCGGAAGCAATCAATCGATTTGCGGCCTTAAGTCAATGCTGATAAAAATTAATATTTGTTTCCTGGTCCCAATAAAAAACAATATTAAGTTAATAAATATTTCCCAGAGACGCAAAAAAGTATGATTTAAAGATATATCTGTTTCATATTGAAAATATAAAAATGTAGGAAAATGAAAGGTTTAATTGACATTTTGAATACTGCTCAGTGTATACCACTTGAATAACAGCTTTTTTGTCCGATACATACCAAACCCCCGTCTGCAAGATAATACCCCGTTTTCAGATAATACTGGATCGTCAATCTGTTACAAATCAAACCTACCGTCTTTCACACTTGCGTTTGTCAGACTCCTCGATACAAACCAACCATATCACCTAGCTGTCACACTCTTTAGAATCGTCCGTCGGTCACACTTCAATACAAAGCGAACATTCACAATCTTTAAAGCTTTACGATACAAACAGAATGCCGGATCTTCCGTTTTTTTCTGACTCTTCGTGAAAAACATCACGGACCCCCTGTCTGTCATACTACTCGGATTTAACAAGGATTCATTCGAATATGAGTTTTAAAATGTTGTTCTTGCAAAACAAAATGTAGTGGGTATTTGTTTTTCTGTTGTTTTTACGCCGATTGTAATTAATGTTTTAGCCTAATGTAATGTCATTAGAGTATCAGACTGCAAATGTATCCAAAATATACTAATGTTCTGAACCATAACTTTCACGAAACTGTGAATACTGGTACATGTGTATATGGAAAAGACTCTAGGGAGTTAGGTGGAGTGGTGGTGTCGTAAGAAGTTTATCCTCCGGATCACGGCGGTAAGCCACTTTGTATTCACGCGAGCACAGTTTAGCCACAGATACGTTCCTGGGCTGGGTGTCAAGCAGTTATATAAAAGGGCCTGTTTGTACAGAGAGTTGTCGGTGCCGCCTCTCGCTGATAAGTCATCGCTCGTCCTATGCCACTTTTTGGGCCATACACACAAGCTTTGGCAAGGGCACGGGCAAAAGGTAGTTTATTGAAAAAGTATTTAGTTGTAGGGTAATTGAAAATGCTGTAATAGTGATCATGTACGCTAGTAGAAGAAGAAAGGTTCCCCACAAAGGTTTTTTCTCTCTATGATACTCTAATGATTCGAACAAGTACGTTTGCTAAAAGCTATTTATATAGATGACTTAGCTTCATGTTAATAGGATTAGATAATTTTATATAATCTAACACGACACGCAGATTAGAAATATCCGTTAAACCTTTCTATAGTTCATATATATAGCTAAATTAATCAGATACAGTCCAACCCCGTTTATTCGAAGTGTCTGGGACTGAATATTTACTTCGAATAATCGATTGGTTCGAATAATCGAAATCGGAATATTGTGATAGACGAAAACTATTCCACTTTGACCAATCATAGCAAAACTATCGTTTACAACATACTTACTTCCTGTAATCAATTGAGAAAAATAGATATTTAAAAAAAGATGCCTAAAACATATTGTTTTGTCATTGAAAACACAAATACTTGCATTTTATTCTACATTATGTATCGTTTTGTTTCGCGCAAAGCCTTGATAATGGCCGTGTTGTCACTACGGTATTTAAAGCTTAACTCTGGTATTTTCGATTAGGATAAAGGCTCTCATCACGCGTTACAGTTAATGAAAAAATGTTTTGGATGTTTTGACAAATTCTTATACACGGTATGTATAAAAATTATTGCTGTCATATTCAAGCAATAACAGTAACAAAATCAGACACGGTGCATAGTTTTTCATTTTCGTTAATTAAAGTTGATTAAAGAACACACAAAGAGTTATTATCATGATTGTCTAATTACACGCATGACTGTTGATATTTTTCACAAGTCTACCGGTCAGCGAGTGGATCGGCGCGAATTAGTCTGGCTTCGAATAATAATTAGGCTGGCTTCGAATAATAGGTGTGAAATACTTTCATAAATGTATAATCGGGACCGAAATTTTACTTCGAAAAATAGGAGGTATTCGATTAATGCATTTCGAATAATACGCTCGTATTTATATAGTTTTATATAAAGATAAAAACGGGACCGCCGATCTACTTCGGATAATGCCGGGTATTCGCATAAAGGGTTGTCGAATAACCGGGGTCGGACTGTAGGCTTAAATAAACTTGATCATTGATTGGAGTCATGTTCTGATTGAGAATGTTTCCATGATATATCAGAGTGCTTAACTAATGCACCCGGGACATCTAAAATATTTGTTTGGCCTTAATTGGCCTACGATAACCGAGCACTTAAAAGCTTTGGTGTAATAAATCTGATACTATCCAAATATAAAATTTCACGAGCGATCATTTACCATGATGATATATTTAATTGTATTGCTTCAATAGAAGAATAGTTGAATAAACACTTAGTGGAATGCGGTTAAGAACTAGAAAAAATGTTACAAATTAATTTATAGTTTTGATCATTCATTGTCGTGTATAATATCTTTAATGCAATCTTTATTTTACGTCACAGTTTGTTCTTCTTAAAGAATACAACAAGTAAAAATCTAATTATGATATGCTATCAGAGATTGACGACTGACGCACAATGTGAACCTAATGTGTGCCTAATACATTGTATTAAAATTGTGAAGATGCACTGGGTTCAAAGAGTTAGTATTATAAATTAAAGCATTGCTTCAAATAGAAGCAGTTAGAAGAATGGCAACAGTTCATATTGGATAAACATTTGCAGAAATACTGTGACACATAGTGGAATTTCAACTCAATATCATGCATATTTTTTCATATCATTACATTTATTTAGACGTGATGGATGGTTTGTTTTAGGCTACTACATGTACAATATGTGACATTCGTTTGTACAGAGATGAGATTACGATTAGTCTGTATGAAAACTATTAAAATAAATGTTATTATTATAATAAAATAATATAATATTGTTGTGGTCTACTTTTTAATTTGTGCCCTATTTCTTAAATTAAGTTCAAACACTTTTAATTTGATTTTTATATGAGAATGAAATGACTCACACAGAAAATGCTTTGAAAGAGGATAAACCTACCCCCCCCCCCCCCCCACACACACACACACACGAACCCCCATCTCTTTCCATTGAAATTTTCTGCTGATCGCAGGACTGTTCCCATGAATATGGATAAGATAATAATTGATTACAAGCAAATATCACTACAAGCAAATATCACACTACAAGCAAATATCACACTACAAGCAAACATCACAGAAATATTACATATATCAGCAGCAGCATCTGATATATACTCAACAATGAACTGTCACAAAGCGGAGTTTAAAACGCTAAAATAATATATATATATATCTGTTTACTGTTAATGTCAAACCCCTCGCGTGGACGTAGACATGTCTGCGTGTCAAAAATTTCCAGAAAGTTAAAAAGAGTTGTAAAAAAATACCCCAAAAAATTATTAAAAACAGGGGGCTGGAAAACTATGGTGTGATATTCGGGACAGGGGTGTCAAATATTCTTCTATGGGGATAGCAACCAGACCATGGTGAATCTTACAGAAAATGGATAACCTAGCATCTATACGTCTGAGTTCCAGTTTTCGAAGCTAAAGGAAGTGAAGCATGCACATGAAGCTAGAGGTCTGACCATAATCTAGCTTGGTCCATCGGGCTGCTCTTTTTTGGACTTTTTCAATTTGATCTATTTGTTTTTTATATTTATTGTGTGGGGAGACCATACTTCGGAACCATATTCAAGCTGGGTTCTGACTGACAAACTGGGGTCTGACTAACGTCTGGTAAGCAATGGATTGGGATTTAACTTTGTGTTTCTGCGTAGTCCTAATCCTAGGGTTTGGTTTGATTTCTTGGATAACCCGTTTATACAGTCTATGATGCGGTTCCGTACCACTTTTGATTATTTGTCTGCATACAGCATGAAACCTTTATTGTTGGAGAAAGTTTGGTCATTTTTGTTATAACAAATCTTTCTTTTACCTTTCTGAAACGGTTTAAATTAAATCTGATGTAAAGAAGAATGTAAATTTTGCTCGACTCCGCTGTAACCAAACGATGCATTTCCGTGACCTCGGATGCAGTTCCGGAAGTGGCGCCCTCTTTGATATTATTTTTAACCTCTGTTATTGGGGGGCATCTCAAAATATTAATTATCTATCAAAACATGTTTACAGACAAACCAGATTAAAATTAGTCCTGTTTCAACTTTAAATACCACTTGAAGTTAGTGTTCTCAGTTGGACTTACATTTGATGATAAAAAAAGAACAACACAAAGATAAATTTAAATATTCCATAGCTTTCTTTTAATTCTGGAATATTACCACAAGTCCAATAATGAACAAACTTCCTGAAAGGACTGCAGTTAAAATACTGTACCACCTGTGGGTTATTTGAACATGAAAATAAAATACTGTACAAATATCACAACTGCTTGTTGAAAATAAATATGAAAATAAAAATACTGTAATAATACCTAATATGCATGTTGAATATCACAACCTCAACCCGTTTGCTGACCATTAATTTCACATGTATGGAGATAATTAATCTCTAACCAGTCACATGCAACATTTCTTTTTAATATAAAAGCAACAAAATAAACATTTTCTTAAGAATTAACCAGCAGACTTTCTCTGATCTATAGGTATGTCACAATTAAAAACATAGAACAAGTGACTATCCACAAAGATAATTACACCAGATGTTAAAAATAATGCAAAATCAACTGCTTTCAAAAAATATGACAATGATGGTCTTAATTGCTCACTTTCAGCTGTAAATTTAGACAGATTAAAGTTATGTTAATGTTATACTACATGTTAAATGGAGGTATGTAAATTGTAGATATTAATCAGACTACCATGG